GGGAACTGATTGAAGAATGTGTTCCTAGCCATACGTGGAAAATTGAAAATGAGTTCCCCTCGGGCCCCCCTGGATGATTTCGTGGTTTCTTGTAGGGCGAGAGTTGTATTACAAACGTGGCCAACCAGCGAGTAAAGGAGTGTGATCGAATAGCAGCGATGGCTGAGAATATTAATTTGTGAGAAAATGGCTGTACAATTTCGTGGCGCGCGGTCATGCCTAGTGGTAGGTGTTTCCACTCTAAAGTGGCTGAGGAGCGTCCGGATGGTCTCGTCATACACGGAGGCTCGCCTGTCGTTGATGGACTGCAGTCGGTGACTACAGACAGCCACGACGACCATAGGGTGGCGATGGCGATTGCTGTGCTCGCCACGAGGTCAGTAGTTTACCCTGTATAGTAAATTTTGAAATCGGCGTATTTATGGAGTTTCAACCGTTTCACGTGAAGTGGCTGGAAAATGCGATATTCGCGGTGATATGCAGCAGTCGTGAAATGTGTTTTTCACTAGTGTTTTTCATATCACTAGGGTGAAGTTTCCATAATGTAATGTTGTTAATGTTAATCGTTTGCAGGGAATAACATTGGAGTTTCACGACCCGTATAACGGTAAATGGCGTAAAACTCAGTGAAAAAACGCGATATTCGGGGTGATATGCAGTAGTCGGATAATATGTGGTTTTCATTAGTGTTTTTCATATCACGGCCACCCGTGAAACTCCAGTGTAGTAATTTTATAATTTTTCACGCCGATATTTTCGTAGTGTAGTGTGGTACGCCATAGTGTGTTGCAGATTCCCACCAGAAATGGTATGCATTAGTCAGCCGAGGTGCGTGGAAAAGACTTTCTCGGATTTCTGGGATGTAAGCAGCGGTCGCTCGGTCGTTGAGTTTCACCCTAGTGATATGAAAAACACATTTCACGACTACTGCATATCATCACGAATGTCGGAATATTTTTCACAGGGTTTTACGCCACTTCACGTAAACTGAGTGCTGATAGTTTGGGGAGTACACATATGTCATCAACTACATGTGTTGATGAAATGTGTATGGAAATTCTGAGAAAATTCAGAGGTCTTGTTGGTTTTTGGATGCCAAGTATAAGAACCATAGCTTCTATACGAGTTTCTATACGAGTTTATATACGAGTTTTTATATGAGTTTATATACGAGTTTATATACGAGTTTATATACGAGTTTATATACGAATTACGTTAGAAGTATAGTACGCGCAATTTAAAGAGGATCCGATTTCGTGTGACAGCATCAACTTTTTAACCACTGCTCATAACAACCGGAAATTTTGTATAGGAACTCTCTGAATATGATTGTATACGGTATTTCTACCAAAGTTCGTATATAGACTGTTATAGTTAGAAAGGAAACTCCTGAGCCCAGGTGAGGAAAGCGAACATTTGTTGCAGCACAGCTTCCCTCGTATGATATTGTTATATTGGATAAGCCATCTATTTGAGGGTATCATACGATTTGTATGGCACCCCTCAAATAGATGCGAATATCATATCAATCGGTTGTATCATACGGATATCATTTTTCATATATAAACCTGATATCAGTAGTATCGCATTACTACTCACATGTGGGTGTTGCTCACTTGGTAGAAGATGAAGGGCTGTGCGTGCAGGTCCTCGAGCTACAGTTGGGCATTACACCAGTGTCGGCAGCCCCCGATGAGAATCGATGTGAAGGTGGCTATGACGATGTGGCGATGGATGGGGCTGGGGGACTCTCACCACCGAGGAAGGTGTTCCTCATTGGTATGAGGAACTGTGGGAAGACCAGTATAGGTAGGGGGGCGTGGAGTAGCTTCGACTCACTCGATGTAATAACAAGTGAAAAACCGGATATTCGCGGTGATATGTAGGAGTCGTGAAATATGAGTTATTATATAGTGATTATAAAGTCCATATATGATAACATTGGAGTTTCACCGCCCTAGTGATATGAAAAAAACTAGTGAGAAATATATTTCACGACTATTACATATCGCGACTTTCGCGTTTTTCGCGGAGTATTACGCCACTCCACGTAAAACGGCTGGAACTGTACTGTTATATATTATATTATGCTTGGTTATAATATCACGAGTTTGTTGAGTAAACAAAGTTTGTATCATGGGAACTTCTTTTCTAACAGATTCTACTTGTGATTAAATTCGTGTTGTAATTGTTTCATAGGCGGCTGATGATACTGTTGATATTATTTTAGGCCGCGAATTGGCATCTGCCTTGGCTGGAGGTTTCTGGACATGGACGCTGAGTTGGAGAAGGAGCCTCGGCGTGACGCTGTCGCAGTTTGTGAAGGAAAAAGGATGGAAAGAATTCCGTCGAGTAGAAGTGCAGCTACTGCAGTCAGTTTTACAAGGTGAGCGTGGCTCGACCCACAGGGGGGGGAGGGCTGAGGGTATTCTCATCAGGTGAGGAGGAGCGTTGTATTATCTCTTGTGGTGGCGGTATAGTAGAAATGCCGCAAGCTGTGAGCATTCTTGGGCAACAGCGCTATGTTGTGTGGCTGAGAATGGATGAAGACGATGTTGTGGTAGGTCCCATAGGCTATTTTGTCCAAGTGAAAATTATGCGTTGGTTTAATGGAGTTTCACTAGTGATACGAAATACAAATTTCGGGAGAACAATCGTGTATACGTCTGTTTACTTCACGGAACTCCGCGGTGAACGGGTGAAACTCCAATACATGAATTGTATGATGAGTTCATCACTACAGTAAATGATTTTGATCGTCAGCTGCGAGCGCCGCGACCGAGTGATATTTCTGAAAACCCACTGTGGGTGTTTATATACTATCTGAATAGGACTATATAATCATAAGTAATGGAGTTCCACCCTAGTGATATGAAAAACACTAAAGAAAAACATATTTCACGACTATTGCAAGGCGCAAATATCGCGTTTTTCACGGAGTTTTACGCTACTTCACGTAAAACGGGTGAAACTCCAGTAGATATATCCTATACACGTACTCCTGGCTTGGCCTCCCATTTCGGAGCTGCTGAGTTCACAGCTACCATCTGCGTGGTATGAGGAGTGCTGTGATATAGAAAAATTGAAAGCTCGATATATCATCAAAGTAAAAACATCTATAAATGAAAGATAATGGAGTTTCACCATTTGTTTTACGTGAAGTGGCATGATACTCCGTGAAAAATGCGATATTCGCGGTGATATGTTTTTCACTAGTGTTTTAATATCACTAGGGTGGAACTCCAGTGAATATCTCGTGAAAACCCAACGTCTCTGTTATCAGGCAGCTAATACGGGGCCGGACGGTAAGCCCGCGTATGGCGAGCCTGTTGAGGACGTATACAGACGGCGAAGGGATAAATTCGCTGAGGCGAGCAAATACGAGGTAGGGACTTCCTCACTTCTCAGACGAGTTGAAATTGGAGTGGTAGGTTCATCTTCCTCGCCGACCAGCTGCTGTGGAGCAGTTGCCAGCTCATGTTGCTTCATGTCGGTCTATGGCAGTAAGGATCCTCCAGTCTTGGCTGAATCGCCTTGATCGTCTTGGGGAGGAGGGCCGACCGCCTCTACCAGAAAAATATAGTGAGCGCATCGCTGAGGGTATCGGTGTTAGTGCTCTTCACCGTAAATCTATAAGTTTATAGTATATACTACTGGAACATTGTATATTATGTTTAGTAATAATCCTATACAGTATGTATATGTATAATCGTATATAG